AAATTTGTTTCTACTTCTGTTTCAGCTCAAGTGTTGTTTTCAGCAACTCAATATTGAATCTTAAAAATCCCGGAGGACGTACCAATGAGATATGTTTTAACCTCGATGCATGATTTCGCATCTCACAAAATATGATCTTGATAAAGTTCTCTTTGAAATCATAACAAATGCAGTTTCTATTTTGGTATCCATTCTAAGTCACTAAATAAGCAAATTATCCTTTGTAGCTATGGATCATGGAATATATTGAATGCATTGTATTTATTTGTAAGGGAAATAATTATGTTATTCATATATAAGGGGTGAGGGAGTTGTACCATTTTCTCCTAAATGCACAAATTTCGACTTTAGGCACTAAAACTCACATTGCATTCCTATACATATACAGTCCTCTATTGTACTCCAGGCCATACATGTTGTAGGCATCAGTCCTCAATAGCTGATGAAGGACTTGGGTGTGGACTACAACTGTACCGTCAGTACAGGTAACAGGCTATTTAAGAAATTCCAGATATACCTGGTTTTCTTGTAGTTCATGTCAGTAGACAGCCAAAAGGCACCAGCACTACTGGAAAAGGGGCTGCATTGCATCATCTTGGTTTTAGCTATTGTGGTTACATTTAATGATGTTGCCTTTGTTGAGAGCTACTGGGCAGCTTTGGTGCCTTCTCAGTTTAGTACTAAGAGTTACTGCTGCCGCCCTTTTTCTTTGCCAAGAAAGCAGGATCCTGCCGTGGTCTGAACCTTGGGATTTCTTCTTGTCTGGACGGTTGTCACTTCACAGTTTGCTTTCATTTGGAGGTTCAGGATTTAGCCTCACATCATTGTGTCAGTTCAGTATTCATGGATTAGCTTGAATATATGCTTCATGAGGGATATCTAGCAGTTTCAAAAGCACATACAGGAGTTAAACACTATTTTTAATTACGTTTTTTTATTGTTTTCTGAGGGAATGACCACTCTCTAATTCATTGTGGATTCTCTCAAGTCAGAGGATTTCTATTATAACTATTTCTGGTCACAGCAGGAACAGAGCTTTCTGCTATAATGTATTCAACCTAAAACTTTCTGAATATTTAGCTCTCTAGACTGGAACTTTCATGCAGATTTAAGAAGCTATCACTTATTTTTTGAATGCTCTTCAGTGTTGCTTCTGAATAGTCAACAGCCACACCAGGGTGAAGTAGAGAACCAATAAATGCTTTCAGATAGACACGTCTCTAAGACCTGAGTTATGACAGGGTGTAATCCACAAGTTACTAACTCAGAGTTATATTCTGACTATTTTCCTTTGTAGGTACTTAAAGACCCCAAGGGTGACCAGATGAGAGGCAATTGCAGAGGAATGTTTTTCAAAAGCAGGACTGTCTGTCAGAACGACGGTCACACAATTACATAGTTTCCCCACTTACTAGATATTTTCCTTATTTAGTCTTTGATTTCATGTTAGAAACTTATACTTTATAAAAGAGACTGCACCTGTGCTTCATTAAACTGTTCATTCATGGCTAGGCTTCGTGAACGAAGATTTGGGAAGGGCTCTACCCACATTTGTTGCAAGCGCGTTGGTGGCTAAAAAGGCCAATACAAGATACGCATGTCTGGTTGCAAAAAGCACAGCAGAAAGATTCCTTAGATGGTATATTCTGCAAGGCTCGATTCTTTCTGCATTGTCTTTTCTCCTCAAGGGTGATCCTGCGTGCGTTCTCAAAGGAAACAGCAGCAGTGTTATAGATGGTGTGTCTCCAGGCCTCCCAATTGGAGGCCAGAGTTATGGTGATCAATATGGCCAAGGCTGAGATGTTGTTTCAGGGAGTCCTTATATCTTTTCTTTGGGGCTCCTCTCTTGCAGCAGCTGGTGGCAAGTTCACCATAGAGCAAGGATCTCAGGGAGGCGGTGGTTCATTAAACTGTAAATTCAGGGGAAGGGGGAAGGGGATGAGAAAAAAACTGGTGTTTCTCCAAATTTCTCTAGATTCTCCCAGTGGGATGGGCAAATGCAGAAGGCAAAAGACAGAAATGAAAGGTTAACAAAGAGCATCCCAAAGAAGGCATAAATGAAAATATGAAGTATGAAATCTATGACAGAACACTGCTACAGATCAACATTACTCCTGAATTTTTGCTTTAGAAAACATATGTTTATGTTTCATTTAAAAAATTAAATCTGTTTTATTAAGTGTATGAATGAGGTTTTAAAACACACACACAAAGAATAAAGACAAAATAAAACAATGAAGATAAAATAAAGATGAAATATGAAGATTGTTAATCAATAATGTAACTGTTCCTGTTACATCAGGACCATATTTTGCCATAAGTACACTTTTTTTTCCAACACTGTCCTGCACAACAACCTTGTCTCCAAATTGGAGAGATATGGATGGATGGACAACTCTATGGATAAAGAATTGACTGGATGGCAGCATAAAACAAGTTGTGGTCAATGACTCATTGTTCGTGTGGAGACCAGTGATAAGTGGTGTCTCTCAGGAGTCAGTACTGAGACTGATCCTTTTCAACATCTTTGTCGGTGACATGGACTGTGGAATTGAATGCACCCTCAGCAAATTTGCTGTGTGGTGTGGTCAACACGCTGGATGGAAGGGATGCCACCCAGAGGGACCTTGACAGATTGGAGAGGTGGGACAACTCATGAAGTTCAACAAGGCCAAGTGCAAGATCCTACATGCAGGTTGTTGAAATCCCAGACACACCTACAGGTTGGATGAAGTTATTGAGAGCAGCCCTGTGAAGAAAGAGTTGGGAGTGATGGTTGATAAAGAACTCAACAAAAGCCAGCAGTATGTGCTTGCAGCCCAGAAGGCCAATGAAATCCTGGGCTGCAGGCATGGCCAGCAGGTCGAGGGAGGTGTTCTTGTGAGACCCCACCAGCAATACTGTGTACAGTTTTGGTGTCCCCAGCATAAGAGGGGCATGGAACTGTTGGATCAAATCAGAGGAGAGCCATGAAGCTGATAAGTGGATTGGAATACCTACCCTACAAAGATAGGCTGAGAAAGTTGGGTCTCTTCTCATCCTGGAGAAGAGAAGGTTGTGTGGAGACCTCATAGCAACCTTTCAGTATCTGAAGGGGACCTACAGGGAAGCTAGAGAGGGACTCTTCATCAGGAACTGTAGTGATAGGACAAGGAGTCATGGGTAAAAATTGGGGAAATTTAGGTTAGATATTAGGAACAGATTTTTTACTGTGAGAGTGGTTAGACACTGGGACAGGTTGCCCAGTGAGGTTGTGGATGCCCCATCTCTGGCAGTGTTCAAGGCCAGGTTGGATAAGACTTTGAACAACGTGATCTAGTGGGAGGTGTCCCTGCCCATGACAGGAGGGGTTGCAACCATATGATCTTTAAGGTCCCCACCAAGCCCTTAAAATTCTATGATTCTAAGTATTCTCTTCTTCCTAGTTCAGTCCTCTGTCACAAGACTCCCTCTCAGAGATGCACCATTTACCCCTTCAATTTCTTTCTGTTCTGTCACATACCTTCATACTCATCTGACTTTAGATTCTGACAATTGCTTCATGCCACATGTCCTTTCTTTCCCTCCACCAGGATTCATATTTGCCAAATGTCCTATTTTTTCTCTCCCAGCAACTTGTTGGCCCGCTTTTCTCACATAGCGCTTGTTCTGTGTCGTCTTCCTTGTGATGCCCTTATTTATTTCCATGTTCCCTTATGCTTCTCATTTTTTAAATTTAATATGGGGTTTACAAAATCAAGCAACATGCCTTAGCACTTCCTTAATGTTCTCTGCTGAGAACAAGAATCATGGTTTGTTTTTACAAAATGTAGCAATGATTAGTATGTTTAAAATTGACCACTTTCTTCCTTTCAAAAATATTTTCTAAATGCCCACGTCACTTACTCTCCAGTTGCAAAATAAGGAACATAACACTTTAAAAAAATAAAAAATAAAAGAAGCTGACATCAGCTCTAACGTACTGAATTATTTTCACTTGTAATTTTAGATAAATTCACTGAACAAATTTATTTGTAACTTCTTCTAGTTATTTGAGAAATTTACCGCAATAAGCAATTACTGTCTGTCCTCTGCATCTATGAGCATAAATGCCTCTTATGAAGCTCTCTGCTCTTTTAGAACAGTAGAAAAAAAGCAGCACATTCTGACTCTACTGTTGGCAGTGCCTCTGCCACAGAAATTCGCTGTTCATCCACTTTCCACAGAAAGAAAAATTTTTTTAATTTTTTTGTATAGTTACTCATACGAGAAATGGCAAGTGCCTAGTTTGTCCTATTCAACATGCAGAAAGATTGCCAATGTACTTGATTCAATGCAGGACTCTTTGACAATTCACTGGAATGAAACCTTGTGTTATGCAGATAAGATTAGAATAAAGTATGCAGAATTCAATCTGATTTCAATGTACAAATAAAAATTAATCGGAACAGCAAACAGGAGAGGAAAATATAGCCAGGTTATAGATATATGAATTTCATCCTCAAAAGAAAAATGTAATTTTGGCTCCTTCAGCTCAGACATGAAGCCCACCAGGCATTCGTTTTAATAAAAGTCCTTAGCTCTCTCCATGAATTAATGGCCTTCTCTAGTCAAAGGTCATAATTCAGCCAGAGGTCTATCATCTGTCCTGGATATTTGCTTATCCAAATATGATACCTTGCAAATAGTGGCCCCAGAGAAAGAGTCTTATTCAAAAGATGCTCACCAACCACAGTCTTTAAGATGCTTTGTGTCATTCCCTCTAACTTCAGCTCTAATAAGACTAGTATGAAGCTGATTTCTCCTCCCCAACCCATGAATGAAAAGAAGCAGTAGAAAGAGAGATACAAACACGCTAAATTGGAGTTATGTTAACTCACTGCCACACACCAGCTTGGGCTTCTCTGATGCAAGAGTTTGCTAGATTATGACAAAAACATGTGCAGATCTCAATCATAGAATCATAGAATCATTTATGTTGGAAAAGACCCTTAATATCATAGAATTGCAGAATCATAGAATCAACTGGGTTGGAAAAGACCTCTGAGATCATCAAGTCCAACCCTTGATCCACTACCACTGTGGTTTCTAGACCATGGCACTAGACCTTGCCACATCCAGTCTCATCTTAAAAACCTCCAGTTTTTATATATCTTTGAGCTCCTAAGTGCCACATATACACACATCTTTTACAAACCTTCAAGGTTAATGATTCAACACTGAGCAGCCTGTTCTAGTGCTTGGCAACCCTTTACCTGAAGAAATTTTTCCTAATACCTAATCTAAACCTCTCCATACGCAACTTGCTCAGTGATATTGCCTAAAAGTTAATGAGCAATTACGTAAATATGAACATAGACATCTGTGCGAAAGTCTTCTTTTAAAAATACTGGTTTGACTCTTGAATCTCTTAACAGCATGTGCTCTTGCATGGCACCTTGACACAAGTCACTGTGAAGGCCATTCTGAGTGGTAGTCACAGAACTGGCTGGTTCAGTTATCCCAACAGTAAACTCTTATCAGAATAGTCACATGCAGCCAAGCTATCCCTCTCCAGAAACAGGAAAAAACAGTCTGTGGGGTTACTGAGATGCCAAAGGCAGCTCTGCAGGTGTCTGTTAAACTCTACTGCCCAAAGAAACTTTGACAAAGCCTAAACTTGGGTCCAAGCTTCAGCTAAAAGGAGTATAAAACTACAGAAGGAAAGAGCTTTCTTAACACACTCTGCTTCATATATTCTTTTTAAATAGGAAGTACTGGCTACTATTGGAGATGAATTTTTGTTAGTTTGAGTTTTGCTCTGATCCACTGCAACAGTTCTTGTGTTTAAGAGTAAGCAAGAAGGAAAATTTGGTCCAGTGAGGCCACAGCTCTTGGCCTTCTGACTTTAAACAGGAGTACAGAGCAATGATATTGTTTTCATTAACTCCAGCAGTAAGCTGGCCTTCTGGGTTCAATCCAAAGCCGCTATGAAAAGAATTAAGTATTTTACTAAGCTCTCAGTTTTGAGGAATGAAGATTATATAATTCCAACCTGGCCTCCTTAATTAATTTAATAGAGGAATGTTACTTGCCCACAGTCTGTCTTCTATTGTCCAGTAATGTTACACAAACTAAAAACTAATCCTCAAAAATAAAAGCTTATGTTTATTATCTAATTACCAAGAAAAGTGAAGTTTGGACTTTTCCTATGTTAAGCTATATTGGCCCTCAAAAGTTAATTTAGGTATTTATTTAGTCTAGTGAATTATTTGGTACTTCCCCTCGCTGGTGCCAGAAGGTAGAAGATAGGAGGGCACTGTTCTTCCCATCTGCAGAACCTGACAGCTAGAGGAGATTCCTCCAGGATGACAGAAGGACTCACAGGAAGCTCCTGCTGCTGCTCCAGTGAAAACCCCTGCTTGTGTGAGACCAGTGCACTGGCATGACTTGCTCAGCAGGGACACGGCCACTCTCCACACCAGGCAGATGGACAGGTATGCCCAGCACATTTATGCCAAAGCCACTAAGCTGCTTAAATGCACACGGGCCTCCCCACCCGCACTGCAGCATACAGGTAATGCCTGCTGATCCAGTGGGTCCTTCCCATCCCTAGTAGGATTTAGATGAGGCCCCTTAGTCCGATAGCAGCCCCTGAGTCTCAGGACATTGCCCTTTGCTAAGGGAAGACAGGATTAAACTCAGGCATAAAGCTAAGCACTGTGGGATGGGTCTGATCCTGCACTTAGGAGACACCTCTTGCCTGCTACATGGGCTTTTGGATGGGGCTCTCTGTCACAATCTGCTCAAGAAACACTGTGCTTGAAGAAACACTCCAGCACAGCTGACCCACGCACCAGGCAGAAACAACAGCACGGCCTCAAGCAAACATTCTTTCCTCCAAACAAGGTTATCGGAAAATACAGGCATTTCTGAGCAGTGTGTTTTCTTAATTTGCAGATTTCTCAAGAAGAAAACATTTCTGATCCTACACAATCCACATTCCAAAAAATCTGAGGAGGGAAAAAAAGTATGGAAATAATGGCATAAAAACTTTTATGTTACTAAGCCTCCAAAACAAATTTAAAACACATGTATTTTTTTTGAAGTAACTTTTTTCTACAAATTGGACCATATTCAAGTCATTGCTTAATTTTTGTCAAACCAGCCAAATACAGAGCTTTGATAAATGCGCAGGTGATGTCATTTTAAGTCCAGGGACATTTAAAGGGGGAAAACAATTTATGATTTCACCTCTGAATGAGAACAGTCTGCTGTTTATTCAGACTCAGTGCTTGAAAACAATACCAATCTGGCCTACAGAAAATGAAATAATTTTATTTACTTCAACAAAAGAACTGTTTATACATAAACAAAGATGTAACATTTTTTCCTTTCATATTGAATATGAAATATGAAAATATCCTTGTAGTAACACCCCAAAATAATCCTTCTTGAGCCATTGCAATATTCTGCTCTTTGTTGTACTTGTAGATTACTCTTCTGTACATGACTTCCATATTTACCGTAATGTTCCCATGTATACGCAGAGAGCAGAATGTCAAAATTGAGACAGGATCATCAGATCAAGGAGCAGAGTCTTGTCCTCAGAGAAATGAAAAAGATATGAAGAAGACAGGAATTTGCCTGTCTTTCTGTTGCCTAAGTGATCATCAGATTCAACTTTCCTCTTTTTGGTCAGCATAAAGCAGAGCATGTGAAAACTCAGCTAAGCCTTTTCTGTGTTCCTAAAAGACCATGATTTGTATGAACAGTGACATGACTCTGCCACTGTTTTGTCTACACAGTAGGCAGAACACACTTGTGGGTATTTGGAAGGATCACCCAGCCATACCAATGCTTAACTTCTAGGCATGACCTCTTGCAGATGAACAGTAGGAGGGTAGTTTGCTCTGCCATGTCCTTCTGAGTTATTTCCTTCAACAGCCACCACTCAGTGTTGAAAGAGAAATCTAAAGCTATCAGGTAGTTGGTCTCATTTAGTGAAAATAGTATAGCCACAATTTGATTCCTGATCATTTCTTCAAACTTAAGCAGTGTTACCTGCTCACTCACCCAAGTACAATATACTTCCTCTCACTGACCTCATATGGCTCTAGATTTAATGATCTCTGTATTTTCATACTTAATGTTGAAACAGACTTCCTCTGTTTCATCATGGGATGTTGAAGTTTGTCCTTCTTCCACCATTGCTGGTGTGGCTCTACTCTTATCGCCACAGCAGCTCCACTTTTGTTGGTGATCTGCTGGGTTCCCCACACACACACACTTGCAAGGAAATCATAAATGTAGCCTGCCTGCTGCTTCCAAGATTATTCTTGGAAATGCATGATATCTTGGGAAGCATGCAATATTCTTTGCACTTTTTTTATCTTCTTAAATACTTCTGTTTATACAAAATTAAGTTCAAGTATATCCCCCATGGGTTTCTCTATACAATGAATGCACGTTTACTTCTTTCTGCCCATATTGTCACATTTGGCTCTATGCCAATTATCTAAAAACAATAACACTAAGAAGACATCCCAGGTCAGCAAATCTTGGCCTCTGAGACTACTGTCAACATATTTATGTCTTTATATTCTTTAACGTAATTGCATAAGAGGATAAGGAAGAAAAATATAAGAATGGCCATACTCCAGCCAAAGCTAAGGCAATATTGTAACCTCAAAGTGCTGGAATTTAATACTTTTAAGTGGATTCAAGAACATACAAGATACCTGAGAAAACAGATACCAAGAGAGTATTTCAAGAATACTCTCCTACCAGCTTCCCAGGGATAATTTCTTTAAACAGTTAAATGAAATCCTAGGTAATATGACTTTTAAAAGAGGTCATTTAGTCTGTTGCTATAGGAGCATCAGCTATACCTAAATTGTACTTAAACCAAGAAAGATGTGAAGGATTCTCTAAGCTCATGGAAAACAGTACCTCTGATATATTTCTGTCTGAACTTTCACCCAAGATCTCACCTGTTGATGAGACCAAAGTGCATATATCTGAGATTTAGGAGCCCAGAGCTTGTTTGGTCTAACACTGGTTGCCTACACTGATCTTTTGGATCTGTAGTTTAAATATCAGTTCACCCAGGCATTCCCTGACGAAAGATCTAAAGAGCGTAAAATTTTCATCTTCATTTTGAGGGGAAGAAGGAGTTTGAAGAGGCTGGTGATAGGGAGATGGAAGGAGGTTTAGGTTTGTACTACAAAGGAGATGATGACCAGCTGCATAACTCTCTGTTTGCAATTGTGCATCTAGTAATTAAAAAGAAATTTAATTTTCATGGCACCCAGCACCAGAGCAGCTTGGATCTTGTTTAGAAAATTAACCACCCTAAAAGATGACATCAGATATCTGTAGTGAGTGAAGAAACACTCACTACCATCTTGTCATTTTGTCAGACAAAATGACTAAGTAAAACAAATCAAGAAAACAACGAGCCTTGAACTAAACAAACAGCCTAGCATTGCATCCCAGACACTGGCCCCAGCAGATTGTCAAGACGAAAAACATATACAAGCAGAGCCACTTGGCTAATAAAATCGTGCAGACAGGCTTGAAGCTTCAGCTCTGCAAAACTTATGTGGTGGGATGAAGTAACAGGGAGGGACCTTTGGAAAACTAGGTTGAAGAGACCAGTTAAGAGTGTAAAAATAGACTATATACTGATGTTTTAGCTAGAATTTGAGACTAGTGTTACAGCAACTCACCCCATTTGTGAACAAGAAAGACTTTGCCTTACATATGCCTACTGAGAAATAGGAGGTGCTAGCAGAACAGAGTGCAGCAGATAAAAGACTGAGATGGCTGCAGTGAAGTTGCCATTAAAAAAACATAGTTTAGCACATAGGGAGGCACAGAAAGTTAGAGACTGCAGTGCCGTCCAGAAGGAGGTGTTTCTCCTGCAGGATACAGGGGTGGGGGGGAAGAAAAAAAAGACTAGCCATTTTTCCATTATTAATTACTGTCAATGATTCCATTTTTTGATCATATGTAAATTGTTTATACCATGTCTTTTTTTATATTAAGTAATGGCCATGCTCATTGTCTTGAAGTTACACTGTGAAGAATTCAGTGGGCTTAGTTGTGTGATTTATATAATTTTACCATCATCATTCCTTTCATTGAATGATCTCCAAACAAGTAAATAGTTTTCAAAATGGGTTTACATATACTTCCTATGTGACTGCATAGGTAAATCACCACAAAACGATTGATTTCTTCTCCAAGGATACTTCTGTAAATAAAGTTTTACTCATTAAATTCTTGTAATAAAGACAGAAAAGGACATGAGTCAGAGTGAAGTTTGCATCTGTAATTCAAATAAATATTTATAAGCAGTGTTCACCCAGTTCTGTCCAGCCATATTCCCATTTCAGCAAAAGGCTTCCATGCATTACCAGTGCCAACAAGTCCTTTTTGCAGTTCTTGAAGTCTTTCTCCTATTTATTTCACACACAGTTTCTGTCTCAGATCAAGTATAACCTGTTCGGTTTTATCCTCTTGGACAGTCCAACTCACTAGAGCTTGTTTATATCCTAGATGGTGTATTACTGTGATGGAAGATTCTACTGTTCTCCTTCAGAAGAATTTCTGCAGACATTAGACATTTCTGACTAGATTTTCAAAGTATCACAGAACCATTTATGTTGAAGTCCTTTAAGATTGAGTCCAACTATAAATATGACCCACTATTAAGTCCTGTGCCCTTCAAAGTTTGCCTGAGCCAAAGGGCCATAAACTTGACAACAGTCATGTAATTCTGGAGACTGGGCAAATAGCTTGGGTGAAGCCATCTCTCTGTATTGTATCCAAGGATTGAGAAACATCTGTGGAGATATTCCCGCCCATTCTGCTCTGCCAGAAAGATGCAAAGTGGATGAGTCAGGCACAGAAAGTTCGTTCCCTCAACTTCTGCTCTTTGAGGTAATAAGATAAGCAACCCTTCCCTTAATCTTGCCACAGCTCAATTGCCTCTGGTACCATCCGCCTTGGAGGCTGGGGCTGTCACCCTGAGCTGGTGCAGTCCTCCCCCTGTATATACGTAACCTCTGTGTGAAAACCAGTCTTGTTAAAACTGTTACAATGAAGCTTTAATGAAAAGAGGTAGAAATTACATATGAGTAAATAAAATTCTTTTCTAGATCATTTGATTCAAAAATCACTACACAAATCTTCTCTCAAAAAATAAGGACAAACTGTCCCTTAAAAGTTATTTTAATGTAAATGATGATGAAGTTTAGGGTAGCATGAGAGCTCTGTTGTGTCAGTGTAGCTACAAAGAGATGCTGTAAAATATGTAAATGTAAAGAGCTGACAAAGTCACAAAAGCCTGTCATGTACAGTGGTATCTGTTGTGGGTGAAAGATAAAAGGAATCTCTACCTCTGTGCAACTTCTATGTTGCAACACTCCTCAGTCTCTGAGCTCAATCAGCATGTAGCCAAGAAAAAATGCTTTCCTGATTTGTTACTTTCCTTGTGTTTGTCTTTCCTACTTCATTTAAAATTCTTGTTTTCAGAAACAAACCTGTAAATATTTACAAAATGAATCATACTAAACAACAAAGGAGATTAGTGAAATGCTTTGGGACTAAAACAATGTGTTTCACATAGCCTGATTGTATAATTCAATTTTATATTAGAGGGGAGACATGTAAATACAAATGGTGAAATGTGACCCAGTTTTATGAGGTCATATTTCAAATACAGGGATGAAATCCAAATTGAGTTCTAGTTGCTATGTTTATTGTGGAAAAACTAAATTCCATATATATATTAGCACCTGGAGATATTTGGTGATTTCTGAATAACAATGTTAAAAAATTCATAAATCAAAATGTTTGAGTGTGAACAAAAAGCATACTTTTGGCTTTTCTGTGCTTTTGCTACTGAGATTTATTTTATTTGATCATTTATAATCCCTAATTCTTTTCACATAAACACATGTAAAACTTGTGTTAGCTATTAAGAATAAAACAGTGTTCCTTTTTATTTCTTAATTATTTATCAATACTGCATTAATAACAAAAACCATAAGAAAAAAGGATGCACGTGATTTGTAGATAATTAGTCTGTGGTTTATTTCTGTATAAACAGCATTTGCAATTTATTGAAAAGCAATGTGGTTTATAAAAAAATTACTCAAATTGTATGCTATCATAAAAAGACAATTGTAACACTAGAACAAAGGTATGCAGACAAGTTTTCTCATTAAAAACACATAGATATTGAAAGTACATAAGTCCCAGAGAGAACTGAAAGATAAGTAGGAAACAGGAAAAGTTTCTTCTGTGCAAAGCACTTAGTACAGCTAAAGAGAGTAAATATTTTATGTTGAAAGAATGCAATGTTTCTTGTTCTAAATTACATCAGATGTTATCACAGATAAATGAGGAGGACAATAAAAATACATAGGAGACTAATGAAATTGTAATTTGTAGAACATCCAGCTGAGTGTAATTGGAATTGTAAACAGTTCCCTGCCTATGGAAGTAGTGAAAAAAAGGGGGACAGGCACAGGACACCTGACTGTAGAGAAAGTCCAGCAGATGCCCAACAAAGATAACAACAAAATACAAGCGGTACAGAAAAATTGAGATGAAACCTCTCAAGTCTGATATAACAGCCAGTCCAGACTGCAACTCCTAAACTTTTCTAGAAATTCAGTCTACTTACTACTTCGTTTGTATTTCTCAGAGAAAAATGATCCCTGTCTCACCTCATTCATTCTAAAAATTATTTATTTCCTAGAGTTAGGTTACTATCTTGGTTGAGCTATTTCAAATCTTAGTGTGACAATAAATACAATCAATTCAGATTGACTTGAAAGTTTCCAAGCCTATGCTAGCAGCTGAGGCACAACACTACCCTGACACTGTTATTGCTGTTCCTGTTGTTTTTATTGTTATAGAACCAGCTGAAATGATACTTCATCACCATTCACAAGGCTGTGCTCTTATCCAATGCCATTAGTGCTATTATCGGGACCCCTGGTGGCCTGGTGGTTAGCATGCAGGACTCTCACTGCTGCGACCACGGGTTCGAATCCCAAGTCCCCCGGGCAGATGGTAGCTCGTTAGCCCTGTGAGGCCATCCATCTATGAGAAGGTCACTCTAAACAAACCTACGTCCTGAGGACCTCACTGCCATTGTCCAAGCTTGCTTGGCCCCAGCAGATGAACCTTAGGATTAAAGGGTGGGCTCAGTTCAGCGCAGGCTGTGTCTCACCTAAAAAATCCATTGCACAGGCTGGAAAGGTAAAAGACCTTTCCCCAAATCTTCGTTCGCGAAGACTGGCCATTATATTATTAGTGCTATTATCATAGAATCATAGAATCATAGAATTAGCTGGGTTGGAAGGGACCTCCGAGATCATCAAGTCCAACCCTTGATCCAACACCACTGTGGTTACTAGACCATGGCACTCAGTGCCACATCCAGTCTCATCTTAAAGACCTCTAGGGACGGAGAATCCACCACCTCCCTGGGCAGCCCATTCCAATGCCTGATTACCCTCTCTGAAAAGAATTTCTTCCTAATATCCGACCTAAACCTCCCCTGGCAGAGCTTAAGATCATGTCCTCTTGTCCTACTGCTGGTTGCCTGGGAGAAGAGACCAACTCCCACCTGGCTACAATCTCATTTCAGGGAGTTGTAGAGTGATGAGGTCTCCCCTGAGAGAAGCTGAACAACCCCAGCTCCCTCAGCCTCTCCTCACAGGACTTGTGCTCAAGTCTCTTCACCAGCCTTGTTGCTCTTCTCTGGACCTGCTCCAGCACCTCAATATCCTTCCTGAACTGAGAGGTCCAGAACTGGACACAGTACTCCAGGTGTGGCCTTACCAGCACTGAGGACAGGGGAAGAATCACTTTCCTGGTCCTGCTGCCCACACTGTTCCTGATCCAGGCCAGGATGCCATTGGCCTTCTTGGCCAGCTGGGCACACTGCTGGCTCATGTTCAGCTTCTTGTCAATCCAAACTCCCAGGTCCCTTTCTGCCTGGCTGCTCTCCAGCCACTCTGTGCCCAGCCTGTAGCGCTGCATGGGGTTGTTGTGGCCAAAGTGCAGGACCCAGCACTTGGCCTTGTTGAACCTCATCCTGTCAGAATCAGACCATCTCTCTAGCTTGTCCAGGTCCCTCTGAAGAGCCCTCCTCCCTTCCAGCTGATCAACACTCCCCCCCAGCTTGGTGTCATCTGCAAATTTTGTAATGGTACACTCAATCCCCTCATCCAGATCATCAATAAAGATATTAAACAGGACCGGGCCCAACACTGATCCCTGAGGGGCACCACTAGTGACCGGCTGCCAATTGGATGCAGCACCGTTTACCACCACTCTCTGGGCCCAGTCCTCCAGCCAGTTCCTAACCCAGCAGTTATGCTATAGTGATCATGTAAGCAAAGCTCAAAAGGAAATAAAAATCAAATTGCAAATAAATGCTAATTCCAAGGAAGTCAGTCCCAACAGAAAATGTGATTCAACTGGCATTAGAGAAGTAGCGTCAACTCAAGGACAGACTTAAATTTTCTTTCCTGGCCTCAGGCCTTCTTGGCTGAACGGGAGCACTATATTTGAGTCATGCCAGTACCTTCTGGTAGTATTTTTACTAAAAATCCCTTGCTCATCTGATACCAAATTCTGACTACAAGTCTGTAGCAGAGAAGGAGCTGAGGAGACCATGTAGCAGGCCATGGACAGCAGGAGCTGGGAGAAACTTCTTACTCTGAGGGCCGTCATCACAAGACCCATTAATATTTAGCTATGTTGATTGCCATGTCTCCTTCAGCAAGATATGAAAGACTTTGTGATGATGTTATCAGACCATGTAGAAACCCCTTTGTTCTTTTCCCCCCATGTGGTCCTAGCTAAGGGAAAATATTAACAGTTACTGTGTAACTGTAGCAGAAAATTGTGTAATCCTCTAGTTGGCATAATCCATCCCCTAGTCCTCTTCATTAACATGTCCTGCCCCCAAGACCCTTATATTGTGAAGCGCGTGTTCAATAAATATTCCAATTTTCACCCCCAAACCTGGGATCAATTAGTTATTGACCTCTTCACAAGTCTAGGCACCTGAACAAGTGCTAAAATCCCGTCTCTGAGATGTTTTGGATGCAAATCCTTGAATACTTGGTTCAGACCACGGTTTTCTTAAAAGTCAGTGGGGGTGCTACTTTTTGGAAAAGTGTGTAGTTCAGCACCTAAACAAGTGACAAACTTCCCAGAAGAATTTAGCTGTCCCTGAAGAGTGAAAGGGGAAATTGTGGTGACAAGGCTCCAGACTTAGTCATGTCCCCATTTTATGAAAATCTACATCTTTTTCCTCAGCTGCAATGTGGGAGTAGTCACATATTTTTTGTATTTCATCGGACTCTTGTGAGGGAACTAATTTAGGTCACTTTGTAGAACACTCAGTATTTATTAAGTCTCCTCTCACCATCGGGTATCAATTATTATTTTATTTTGTAAATAATTTGTGGAGTTCTCTTTCAGCTGCACTTAAGGTTTTCCAAAGAAAGGGGCTTGTTAGTAGCTTCAGAAATGTCTCACTAAGCCTCCAGTTATCTATCTCTGTCAACTTCTCCAAGTTGGAAATAGAAGAGTTGCATTAAATATCCCTATTAACTTTCCAACATGACTCAAAGAAATTGTCTTTGATTAGTTAGAAGTACATCTGCAAAGCTGAGTTTACAATATACCACATAATCTCAAATGCAGATCTTATTCTGCCATCTGGACCATATGTGTTAGTGTCAACAACAGCAATAAACAATACAAGACACAGTTCACATAAACATTTCAGAAATCGTAAGCTTAATCATTGTTCAGAAGTTGGACCAAGCTATGACTAACCTCTTCAGGACCATAAGCCCTCAGCTTACTAGCTTTGAAAGGTATCCAGAAGAAAGCGTATCCAAAATCTGAACCTAGAGATAAAAGGGAATTCATGTGGCATAACAACAATATGCAGCAATAAACAATTTTTAAAGTTGGTCAACTGTGAAATTGGAGTTGCGTTGCACTGCAAACCTTGCTGAATGGCGATGTCCACTAGCACTGCAAATACTACTTCTGTTACAGGATAAGACTATTTCTTAATTCATTTTATTAGCTACTTCTTTTCCAGTCCATTGAAGTCTGTTGGACTGTCTATGATGCCAGGGATTCTGGCAACAGCATCAGTGGGTAAAATTGATTAAAATTCGAACTTAGGGGGAAAAAAACCCAGAGATAATAATCAGTGGAAAACATTTTAGAAAGCAGAGCCTAGAAAATTACTGGTAAGCTGATCTGTACACACAAATGTAAGGTTTTGACAAACAAGTGCCCATGTGACTCATCACAGCATGAGTCAGAGCCAGAGCACTAACAGCTCCCAAGGCCAGTGGCATCCTCAGTGCATTTCTGCTTGCCACTTCCCTCCAGTATACGATTTTCAATCATGAAAACGTGACGGTATCGAAACGGGGAGAATCACATTTTCCCCAGTCTGACAGCAGTCTAGGCATGCCCTTCAACTATTCTTAGGTTATTGGTACAAGACAGGAAGAAGATGTTCCAGTTTCAGATAACAAACTGAACCAATGAAAGTTGTTTTCACCTTATTTCCATATGCAGAAAGTAGGTCAGAGATAGCTAAATTCTAATATTTCAGGTCCAGTCTATATGAGAGTGAAAAGTTTCTTGTAAGATATTTTAGACAAAGCCCATGCCAAGCAGGTATTTCTGTAGCCTCATTCCTCAGTCAGAATTGACAGCAAAGACCTATACCCTGTCAACACCATAACTAACACTGTATTTACTCTAAAAACTCATCTACCAGAAATAGCTGTCAGTATTAGAAAGACAGGGATAAAACAACTCTCAAAAAAGAGAAAGAAAAACTACCTTTTTAGACTACCAGGTATTAGTAAACTTTCCCATTTCCTCCTTTGGAAGTAACATAAAGATCATTGACTAAAGGAAGCTGGGAATTATTGCTAATAGAGAAAATTCTGCCTGGTTTTTCTTAAGAAAATTTCTCTTAAGTAAGTACAAAGTAGAAATTATATAAAATAGCTCCCAGAATAATGTCTGTTTGACTATGGTCTGAGTCCTAAAATTCAGTCCTACACAACCTTTTTAGAATAAGGAAGGTAGGATAGCCCTCACTTATTTTATTATCTGATACCCAAACCAGTGAGGGTCAAACTGTTCTCCAAAATTCTTTACATGTTTTGCACTGATATCCAAATATCAGTAGATGAGCACTGTTTCCCTAGATAATTTGTTAATACATGTCTCTCGTTGAGAGACACTAAATAGAAAAGCCAAAAAACAAGAGCTAAATTTAGTGTTATATGTTGGCGTAGATTTCAGCAATCATGGTGTGATAGCTAACAGAAAGTCACTGTGCATGGATCTATACTTAAGACATTCCTTCCAGTCTGTTCTACCCAAAACTCTTGTTATGCCCCTGTCTAAACCTCAAGGTAGACTTAGGGTTAACAAAGATTTAATAGCATAAGGAGTTAAGTAGTAATCCACATAAACTGGCAAGCTACAAAGTGCCTTTAGTGGCTGAAGTCAGAAAAGAACACTCCAGGGCTTCATCCAGCCCAAGATAAGTCATGCAGCATAGCTGAAGCTGAACTCCTAGGTACTTCCAGTTATAAAACTACAGTTTAAAACATCAAAGATACTGAGAATACTGGAAATTTATTAAAATAATTGATATGCATGCCCAGTCATCAAACTGATGATTGTATGTGTTTGATGTAAAGGGAAAAAAGTGTCAGTTGTCTATTCTGTTGCTTTATCGTGAAGAACAACCCCTGGTTTGTTTGTTTGGGTTTTTTAAATGGATTTCTGAAACTTCCACTACTTCATATTGTTAGTACAGAAGTTTCCAAGAGCAGAAGAGTTCTTGACATATTTTTGTATCTTCTTTCAAACAAGACGCCCAAGGAAGCTGGAACACTCAAATGCAGTAGAATGCCTTTGACCCCTGCTGCAAAACACAGACATGACAGTGAAAGACACCAACCAAGAAAATAAAAAACAACTGTTGCATCTGACTTTGTTGAATGCCTTTCCTGTGAAATGTGAGAGATATATCACTTTTTTTTCCTGATTAAAATTAGGAGATTTCAATGGATCTTGAAATTGGTGCATCAAATTAATTCAGCCAAGACATTTTCTTGGGTATATATATCCAGGATTAAGTGTCCTTTTCTTTCTTCACCAAAAATCGCAAGGCTCCAGAATCTGAATGTCTAGGAGAATCAGATGGTTATGATAAAGGTAAGAAATTAAAATAATTCTTTCAAAACTGTTGTCTATTTTGAGATTAAAGCCAAAAATCAATAACCTGTAAAGTCAAACATAGAAAACAATCATCACTAATCAACACAAAATCATTGTCCATATGTTTTCTGAAGCAAGATGGCTCATCACAACTGTTTTATCATGAGATTTTAATCAAAAATGATAGCTGGAATGTTTCTATGTCAGGCAAA